GCAGGGAAAGTCCTCGACTTACGACCGGTTGGGTAGTCCTCGACTTACGACCGGTTTAGTCCTCGACTTACGACCGGTTTAGTCCTCGACTTACGACCGGTTGGGGGTCGCGGCATTAAAAAGTTTGAGAACCACTGTTTGAGATGATCCACTGAAATCTTTTCTGGCATTTTAGATCTTGTCAGAATTTTTATCATATTTATGACTCTAACTCTCAAAAAGCTGATGACGTCATGAAAATCTGATTAGGCGTGAACAGGTGGAAATTCCATAATTACTGTGAAATGTAGTTTTCGTAATTAGTGTTGTCTGAGACCTGTAGAAAGCTATTATACTTTATCAAATATGCTGGGAAGAGGATATCCGAGAATGAAAGAGAAAGAAAAAAGGGCATCAGAAAGTTAAAGGTAATATTAAAGAGAATAGATATCCCATTGCTTACTTCAGGATCTACTTATCAAACTAATAAAAAAACAGGAAAAAAATGGGATAACAATTCCTGTGAAAAATCCAGGACATTTGGCATTATAATGCATGTATAATAGTACTTTCTGAAGTGTCCATTTTAAGTTTACTATGTTCATTTTAGTATTTCTATGCCAGACCATACAATCCCTGAACCTATCAATCAAGCACAGAAACAGACCAATCCGATTGGATCGTTGCAAGTGAGTTATAATGACCTTAACGCTATTTTGCTAATTTGATATGTATTATATCTTTATGTTTTAAGAAGTTCAAGGAATCCTAAATTACAGTTACAAACCAGATTTACAAAACTTTTTTCCCCCCTCCTTTTTATTTTCTGATGGCAGACTAATGGCAGGTAGTCAGGAACAGGTTGCGTGAATGAGGGAAGACTGTTCATATCCCCCTCAGGAAAGAATGCAACATAAAGTGAAGTTGGTGATAACAAAAATAAGTGAAGAGAAAAAGAAAATGAAACTACTGATAACAGGTAGTCCTCGGCTTACGATCCCAATTGGGACCAGTAAGATGGTTGTTAAGCGAGTCACACCCAATTTTACAACCTTTTTTGCCATGGTTATTAAGCGAATCACTGCGGTTACTAAGTGAATCATGCAGTCATTAAGCAAATTCAGTTTCCCCCATGGACTTTGCTTGTCAGGAACCGGCTGGGAAGGTTCTGAATCAACCCAATCGCATGACCTTGGGATGCTGCAATAGTCCTAAATACATGCTGGTTACCAAGTACCCATATTCCGATCATGTCCATTGGGATGCTGTGATGGTTGTGAAAGTGCAAAGATCAAACTAAGTCATTTTTTTTCAGTGCCATTGTAACTTTGAATGGTTGGTAAGCAAATGGTTGCAAGTTGAGGACTACCATTTTTCTACCAAAAACAGAAACAAAAAACCTTTCTCTTTGAAGGATGATATATATACATTTTCTTCTGTAGAAATATCAGAATAGAGCTGGAAGGGACCTTGGAGGTCTTCTAGTCCAACCCCTTGCTGAAGCAGGAGACCCTATACCAGTGGTAGCGAACCTATGGCACAGGTGCCAGAGGCGGCACTCAGAGCCCTCTCTGTGGGCATGCGCGCCGTTGCCCCAGTTCTAGGCCTTCAGCTGGGTTTTATAAAACCTTTTTGCTTTAGGCCTCCGCCCCCGTGTACAAAAAAAAAAGGTTCAATCAATCAGTCAATTTCAACTTCTCGCTGGGGAAAAAAAAATCTTGCAAAGTTGGAATTGATTGATTGAACTTTTTAGTCCCCCCCCAGTCTGCTGTTACCACCGTAGCCACGCCCACCCAATGGGCCATACCCACGAGGCAGAAGTGGGTTTTGGGTTGCAGTTTGGGCACTCGGTCTCTAAAAGTTTCGCCATCACTGCCCTATACCATTTCAAATAGGTGGCTGCCCCGTCTTTTCTTTAAAAACCTCCAGAGATGAAGCACCTACAACGTCTGGAGGCAAGCTGTTCCATTGGTTAATTGTCCTCACTGTTAGGAAGTTTCTCCTTAATTCTAGGTTGTTTCTATCCTTGATTAGTTTCTATCCATTGTTTCTTGTCCTGCCTTCTGGTGCTTTGGAAAATAAGTTGATCCCTTCTTTGTGGCAGCCCCTCAAATACTGGATTACTGCTATCATGTCACCCCATACCCAATTCCTGCAACCATTCTTCATATGTTTTTGTCTCCAGGCCCTTAATCATCTTTGCACTTTTCCTAAACTCACAACATCTTTTTTGTAATGTGGTGACCAAAATTGGATGCAGTATTACAGGTATGATCCTACCTCCAGGTAGGATTTATAAAGCAGTACTATTACTTCACATGATCTTGATTCTGTGCCTCTGTTTATACAACCAAGGATTGTATTAGCTTTTTTGGCTGCTGCTGCACATTGCTGGCTCATGTTTAAGTGATTGTCCACTAGGACTCCAAGGTCCCTCTCACAGTTCCTGTTTTTGAGCCAGGTTTCGCCTAATCTGCACTTGTACCTTTGGTTTTTCCTGCCCAGGTGTAACACCTTGCTTTTCTCCAAAATTGGTTTACATGTAAAATTCCTCCACATTTTTCTTTAATTCACATTGACAGTGTTGATGGGAAGCTTACAAAGAGCTTGTGTGTCTACTCCATCCTCCTGTTTCCTTTGTAATTGCAGTATGGGTAAAGGCTATTTTATCCCAGATTTTAGATGCATTTGGGAGCCAGGCACATTATTTAATTGAAGTTTTGATTTAACAGGCTGTTCAAGTGAGGGTGTCAGTTAAATACAAGTGCCCCTCTTTTTCTCTTTTCCCTTTTCACAGGTTGAATACAGGCACTTGTGAAGATAACATTCTTAGGTCATGAAACCTCTTAGTTAAAAAAAAAATCCTTTGAATTCCTGATCAAGAGGCAAAGCACCAGTGATAGAAAAGTGGCTGTATTTGAGTGGACATTTTTTGCCCTTACTTACTTACCCATCAACTTCTTGTGGAAGTTTAGGATTTATTTTTAGCGATCTCATCCTCAGCCTTAGGGACAATTGAAGGCACCTTTTGGCTCCAATTGCTTTGTTTCTAAAGAAGTGTTGATTGGGGCAAGAGCCAGGGCAGGAAAAATTGCCACTGCTGCTACTGCTGCAGCGTCTAACCACTGGCCTGCCTTGTTGATCTTCCTAGCATCTTCTGCCCTTCCCTCTTTTGGGAAGACCATCACTTGCCCACCGAATCTTTCCAGCCCCCTTTTCTCAATTCAATCATTGCCTAAATGTGCTGCCCAATCTTCCCGATGCATTGGCTCCCTCCCTCTTCCATGAATTCACACACAAAGCTTGTGCAAATGGCACAAAGTCATCTTACCACCTTTCTAGCTCTCACCTGGAACTCAGAAGCATGTCCAAATCTTAGCAAAAATTTTATGCACTGTCTAGACTGCTTCCCCAAATAACAGAGAACTCCACTATTTTCACCATTATATTCAAAGTCAGTGAAATTGAGGTCTATTTAACAGAGGATTTACTGTAATTAATGTTGGGTTTGTTTCCTGTGCTGGATGAGGAAACTTCTGAAGTGCAGGTATTCTTTTAAAGCTGGTTCTAAACCGTCTTCTCTGTGCTTTTTCCCCCCTTCAAGGAACTGGCTATGAGGAAGGGTTGGAGATTACCTGAATATTCACTGGCCCAGGAGACTGGGCCACCTCATAAGAGGGAGTTTGTAATGACTTGCAGAATTGAAACATTTGTAGAAACAGGTACGTAATTCTTTTCCAAAATGACTTGAATTTAGCACAGGATTAAAAATGATGAAGAATTGGTTGTTTCTATTGTTTCATACTTTTTCATGTTTATATAATTTTGCTTGATAAATGGCCTTGTCAGATATTTCACTCGGAAGCCTGGTTATAAATACTTTGAATTAAAAGTACTTCTGGACCCATGGCTGCACATACAATAAGGCAGGGAGAAATAGTGATATATATTTTTTTTAGATCTACCAGGACGTTTTTATACATACCAATGCCTGTACACTGGAAAGACTACTGTCCCTTATCTATATTCTTGTGGAATATCCTAATTCATGATTTTTTTTAAAGCAAAGGTAGATAATTTTTAAAAAAAAACAGTATACCCCTGATCTATTGAATTACTACTACTGTGTTTTTGCCCCCTGATCAATTACATGTTTTGGAGCTGGAAGAAGGAGGGAGGGAGGGAAGGATTGCAGGCATATATTTCCTATTATATGAAATGCCACTGAGTTGAGAAACTAGAGGTAAGTTTCCTTAATCTCCTCTTGCTTAGAGGAAATTTAATAGGTCTAATAAATAAAATCAGGGCAATTTTTTTGAGTTACATTGGCCACATTTCAATACAATAGAACATCCAAACACTGGTCTGTTACCCTCTGAGCATTGTAAGCTGAATGCTTTTTTCCTTTCTCTCTTTGGTATTTCAAAAGGTTGTTTGCCAGAAATATCTGGCCAGTAAAATCTAACAGTACAGTGGCTGCTTGATAAAAGTAATGTAAAATTATATGCATGTTGATGGAGGGAAGTTTTCATAACATTCCTAGAGAGCTTTTATTTATCTTCTGATATGACTGTTAAGTCAGCAGTGCGTGTCTTTTTCCTGTCCCCTCTCCTGTACTTAGTGCACAAAGCTTCTGTCTTCCTGCAAGAACTAATCAGATAGTCAAAGTACCTGTCTCTTATTTCTATATATATATATCGCACCAGAAATTATCAGGAATATAGCGAAGTTTTGCTCTCAGCAAATATTGGAGCTTATCACCATTTTGGTGAGAGGTTATTCCCAGCATTCTGTCATTAATTTGCCTTGCTATTTGTTTTATATCATGCAGCATATTACTGATCTGTTTTTCAGTTGGTCTCTGTCTCTAAGTTCATAAAACAGAGTAGAAATTAGGATTCGGTACGATTTATCTCTGTATTGGTGCAATTCATCTGTGCAGAGGCCTTTATCCCTGTAACTTTTTTATATGGTTGAAAGGATGCCATCAACTAAGTCTATATTTTATCAGCTGCATTTGCTGTTCCTTTTATTCCTTTTCCCATAGAGACTTTACCTTCAAACTGCATCCAAGTGGTCAGCCTGCTGTGGTAAGGCAGGTTCAAATGAAGCCTCAGCCAAGTTAGCAAAGCCAGCAGCATCTCTCTCTTCCTTATATTCTTCCACACTGTTCTGCATTCTCATCCATATAATGATTTGATGAATCAATACTGACATTAGCTAGAAGGGATCTGAGAGGACCAGAGTTAGCCGTTGATGCCTATTGCTAAAGTTAATAAGTGCAGGACAAAATAGATACAAAGAGAATTTCAAATTTGTGGCTACAGAAAGGCATGTACATACCCCAAATGTAATCCTATCTGACTCTGGAATGTTTGGTCTACTGTAATCCAAAATAGTTCTTTTATCTACTTCAATAATTTTACCTTTTCTTTATTATCTAGGTATGGGAACATCTAAAAAATTAGCAAAGCGAAATGCTGCTGAGAAATTACTTGAAAAATTCCACAGTTTTTGTCAGGATAATATCACAGTTTCTTTAGTAAGTAATTCATTAAATTTAATAGAAAGTACCTGCTTTAATCACTGAACTTCTTCATTCCTAATAACCATCTTCTGTCTCCATTTCTCATCTTTTTCTAATACGTAAAGGATGACATTTTTATACAAAGTAGTTTGGGAATAACTTCCACTGAGCATAATTTATTTCTGAGCAAGCAAGCATTGAACTGAACCCTGCAGTTCCCTCCAAAAGCTAAGATTATTTGTAAATCAGGAGGTACAATTCTTTTCAGATGAAGGCTTCTTCCTGGCCCTTGATTGGCAGGCTGTGGTAGGCAATGTTACCACACACTAGGCAGAAGAGGTATGGGCAGAAAAATACATCTGATTAAAATTAATCAAACACAAGTAATATAGCAGTTTCCCCATGCATTTCATAATTTTCTTATGTTTGCTACAATGACAATTTGGTGGCAATGTTTGGAGAGGATTAGAGGGATACAATCAAGTCTTCTGAGTTGCTGAGTTATAGTCATTGGAACCCCATTATAAACACTTGTGGGTCCTACTTTTTCCATTCTCTGACAGCCCCTTTCTTTGCTTGGCTTCACTACCCAAGAACTGTTTTATATGGGTGAATAGATGCAGTCAACCAAGTCTTTATATCTCTCCACTAATTACATAGGCAGCCAAATAACTACTCTGTATTAGCATCAAAGACTCCCGGCTAATATAACATCACCATACACTAATACATACTAATTACACTCACAGCTCCTTTTCATCCTCTCAACAAAGATGAGGTTATATATATATATATGAGGTTATATATATATATATATATATTCTAATAAACCCCACCTATCCATTTGGTATCCATGATGAACTGCATTACTATTTCGTATAAATTACAGTACATATTATTTTGACAGCAACATAAGGCTTGATAAACTACAGTTCTTCTGCACATGATTAAAGGTTCAAGAATGCTGTCCTTTATTTGGCTACCTTCTTGAAGCACTGGAGAAAGCAATGTTTTCTCTTCAGGTGCTGGAAAAAAATGGCTGTTATCTTTACAGTAGGTTTTCTCCACTACTACTTAGGCTGGTGGAAATGCTAATTAAAACACAGCTTGGTTTTTGCTTTGTTCTATTCATTCTTTATTGCTTTTCTGAAAATGTAAGATGTTTTACTTTCAACATTTTAAGCTTTTTAAGTAATAGAATGTTAGTAATACCTAATCAATTTTCTAAATATTAGTGCATTGACATTTGATTTTAAATAACATAGTCCACCATGATTTACAATATTACAATAAAAGAAAAAGAAATGGGAAAATTTTCAGCCAAAAAAACAAAAAACCCAACAACCATTCTTGGTGAGAATGGAAAAAAACCTAGTTTTGGTATCCAAAGTAATATTTTAGAAATACTATAAACCACTGTTTTTTTGTTTTAAAAGAAAGAACATTCTGCCATGTCATAAATTGCTATGAGAACTCTTATTCGCTTCAAAAATTGTAGTGTATTGGACAACTGTTTGAGAAATGTTAAAATCAAAATTCTGGATTTCTTTATCTCTCATTACCCCAAGAGAGGCAGAGTGAAAAACAAGTTTAAAACAAGGGTGGGACTGCACATTAAAGTGAAAATAGCTTTAAAAAGACGTAGGCATTTTTCTTAAGAGTTAGACTATGTTTTTTATTAGATTTATATCCTTTTTTCACTTTAGCTGTATCTCAGGATCAGAACTGCTAAACAGCAGAATGTTTCCCCATTAGCAAAACTGTCTCATTCAGGAAACGGACCATGAAAAAAAAGTCTGATAATTGTGTTAATGGGGATAAGCATGATTACATTTTAATGTGGATCCAGTGTGAACTGGCTCATTTGCAAGGAACTTTTAACCTATCATTTCTATGGAATCCATGTGCAATCTTTCCGAGGCTTAACATCTTTTAAGTGGCCTGCCAGGGTCTGCATTACTGAAAGATAAAGAGTCTGCAGCCAGGATAAAAGCTCAATTGGATATTATTTACATATGTAGCACAATTTCTCTCTGTTCATAAATTACCCCTTTTTAAATGGGTAACAGTATTTGGAAGTTTCTGAAGGTTGCAAGTTGTGCGTCTCTGATTTGTGGCCTCAACCTAAACACAGTAAAAGGGTTGGAACACGAATGGAAATTATTATTATATTCAATAATAGCTTGGCCTAAATACTGTTCTCTAAATATAGTAGCCTTGATATTTGGTTTAACTTTATTTAAAGGTAAATTCCTAAAACATAACCCTTGAAATATGTGCAGTTTTTAGGAAAATCCGCCAAAGCTATCAGAACTTTCAGTTTATCACCAAACTGACTAGGTGATTCCTCTAATGTTGCTGCTGCAGCTAACTTTCTTTGCCCTGACACAGCCTTTCTCTTTCCTATTTCCCTCAATCTGCCATCAGCTGGAATTGATGATTAACTCATAGTATCATGAGAAAACTGTTAAGAACTGTTTGGATTGGTATCTTCTTAGAATTGTGCAGTGTTTTGAATTCAGTTCAGAAGAGGCACTACCAGGAGTATGAATACAGCACCTTCTACCACTCACTAAAGCCATCATCATCGGTCTCTAGGATCACAGGGGTGCAGTGAAAACTTTCCCTTACTAGCCTTATATGATCCTAGAACATAATTTGGCTGCTTTAAAGAGTCACAGACAGGTGCTGCCTTTGCACTTCCACCTTTTCTAATTAAAACGTAAAGCATTGCGTCATAAGTTCTCAGCTCGATAATAGAGGATTTTAAAAATATTGATTCCATGACTAAATAGTAAGTAATATTATTAATGTGTAGCAAAATCTAAACCTCCTTCATTTGTTTCAGGGAAAAGAACAAATGCATAATTTGGGATGCACATGGGATATCTTAAGGAATTCTTCTGGTGAAAAAATTGCTATGTTGAAGATAAGCTCCCTCAGTATTCCCAATACAGACTATATTCAGCTCCTTGGAGAAATTGCAGAGGAGCAAGGTTTTAATATAAAATATTTGAACATAGGTAAGACCTGGTAAATTATACAGCATGCATTCCTTCCCTTCATCTTTTCTCTCTCAACGCTGCTAGAGCAGATGCTATGTATTCAGAAATTATTTTACAACATTTAGTCTGAATACTTGTTCAAGTATACCACAAGCAGAGAATCAGTTTCTATATTTTGGTTGTGTTTTTTAAGGCTCAGATACTGTTCTGTAGCTAGTTTTAAGAACATTACATAAAGTTCAAGAGCATAGGAGGGTCACCATGGTCAGCATTAGAGTTCAAGAGGGTCAGAAGGTCAGCATGAGAAAAATGTATATAGATAATGGAGTCTGTCATTGCTAGCACAGGATAAAAAGAATGTTTTGGAAACCACCACCCTCATAAAAAGAACAGTTTCTACCTCAATCTTCAGAATAACACAACATCTCTGATGACTTGGTGATCTGGTCAGAAGATTTGAGAAAGAGAATTTACCCATGTTTTGTTTGATCAAAGATAGTGATTTTCTACTTATCGCCGTTTGTGTCTATAATTTCAGAGGAGTTGAGTGTGAATGGACAATTCCAGAGCCTCGTAGAACTTTCAACCAATCCAATCATAGTTTGCCACGGGACAGGAATCTCCTGGAGCAACGGCCACAATGATTCAGCCCACAATGCGCTACAGTATTTAAAAATCATAGCTGGGAGGAAATAACAAAGAATGAACGTGGGTATATTTGTATATATCTGCCTGTCTTAAAATTGAACAATTTCCAAATTATTGAGGCTGTTTTTAAAGTCACATCACAACCTTTGCATTCATGATTTGTATTATAAAGAAAAGGTAACTTAAACCTATTAAGATGTTTTTGTTTTATTTATTTTGGAAAACTAGAATCAGGAAAATCGAAACCTGCAAAGCTGCGAGCAGGGAAGGAGACACCCAGCCTACAACTCTATCGTGTTTGATGAATCAGTATCCTCAGTACCAAAGTAATCATTAGTGTGTGAGCAGCTGTTTCCCAAAAGCAGCCTTGAATCCAATGCCTTCTTTCTTAATACTATTTTGTACAGGGATGGGGAAGTCTGGCTTGAGGCAAGCCTGCTGAAGAGTGCAGTGTGTGTTGAACTGGAGGGAAGGAGTTTGTTCCTTCAGAATGCCATGCATTGGGAGCAGAAAGTCCAGCTCATTCTTCTCCCTTATTTATTTCTTACATTGTTAATATGTTGCCTTGTCAAAATAACTGGATATTTCACAGAGAAACCACAAAGCAGAACATAAACCATAACTTCATTGTTTCAGAACATCTTATTAAAAGTAGATTAAAATTGAAAATCCAACTCCGAATAAATTAACTAGTTTCTTAAAAATCAAATTGACATCCATAAAACAACCAAGCGTGCAAAGAATTCAATCCCTCCCAGCCCAGTGAAACAAAACATCTTCAGGGTTCTCCTGAAGAATAATGTTGCAGTGAATCCCCCAGACTCCATTAGAGGAAGACAAGTCACCAGCAAGGCCTACCTCTTCATCCATTATCATCCCCCAGAACTCCGTAACAGGCAGATAGAGACACTATCTGGCCCAAGGTCACTTCAGTTCGCTCATCTTTCTATTATGCCAAACCCATTGCCTTCTACTGTAAACCAGCCAAACTCAAACATTCAGCATTTTGACTCCAGAAGATACACTCCCATACAATTGGAGGGGAAAATGTTCCCTGTCCCTTGGCTTTGTATATATATATATATATGATGAACTCACTGAAGCACCAAGTAGTCACAGGCAAGTCTTTGCCATTATGATAGTCTATAGTCAGCAACAGACTTCAGAATAGCACACAGATAACCTTGGGGGGGGGAATAAAGTGCAACAAAGAGACTGAAGACTGAGTCTTTGGTAGAAGGGGAAGGGGAAGGGAAATGCTGTCAGGCTTCCAAGTTTTTGTTATCCCAAATCTATAGCAGAGTTTTAGTATTTCTTGTGGCTTTCCTGACCTGGCCTGCCTTGAAGGGCAGACAGAAGGAGTTACAGCTTTTCTCTTCTCAGGCAGCAGTTTCTACAAACAGCTGATATCTTCACCTTTCACTGGAGCTATGACAGTGGTGCCAAACAAGCCCCTTACTGAACTTGCTAGGTCTCCCACTGTAGCCCTCTCTGCTTCCATATGCTATTCTGTGTCTGCATGGCAGCAGATAAGCTGTAATGTGTTACAGCGACAAAGGAGGTAATAATAGTAGTAATAGTGTGCATCAACTGGAATTGAGACACCACACGTTTGTCACATTGATAGTGTCTTGCCATTTCCAGCATTTGCTCTTTCTCTTCCTCTCAGCCCTTCTCTTCCAATTCACACCTTCTGCCTTCCACTTTCTTACACTTTGCTTCTTTTTTGTATCTATCACTTGGTGTTCCACACAACTGAGTTTTACCAGCCTTCCCAATTCTCTGCTCTTCCATGCTGTTTGATACACAAATACCTGTCCTTACAATCACATCTCATTCCTCAACTCCTCAGGAACTGCCAGTATGAAAAACACCCATACCAAAAAGCCTCAAGATCCCTCCACCAAAATGCCAAATGTAAAGCACTAGCTTGCAAAAATTGCCTGGCAGAATGGTAATATTTACCAATCATGTTGACCATCATTCATCTATTCACTCATACAATTCATATATACCCCCGTTTTGTCTTAAAGCAAATACATGGGATAATGTACACTAGCTCAAACCCACACAATGAATTTCTATGACTAAGGGTGGATCTGAATCCAAGTCTCCTAAGTCTAGGTTTAACACCCTAACCACTCTATTATTGTCTTGTATGTCAATTTAGCTTTAACGTATCCTTCACTGAAATAATAAAAGTGATTTTAAAGGCTTAAAGTGAAGGAGAATATCTTGTTTCTGTTCATCCTTTGTGATAAGGCTTGCAGACCAGATGAGGAACCATCATCAGCTGTATTTGGTGGTTGGGCTGGAGATTGGACATGCCTCTTCTTATACAGTTAGAGCAGTATACTAGATTACAATCACATTATGCTGAGAAAGGAGAAAGGAATTATGACTTAAACATATGTTCTACTGGATGTTATGAAAAGTTGCCAACTTTTTTTTAATGATTGCATATTTCAGTAGCCAGGAGCATGGCTTCTGATCTCTGTAGACTTAATTTCCTTTAAGTTACTTAATGTAGGCTGGCATTTCTTTAAGATTTCATAACTCATGAACTATAAAACTGCTTGAATTTATGCAGCAGAAGGCTGAATTTTGGTGTCTTCATGAAAATGCTTACAGTTTGGACCTCAAAACTTGTATTTCTAATTATCTGAAGCTTCAAAGAAATGATATAATTGTACATAATAGCCATTATATATTATTCACTTTTTGTGTTTAAATTTCTTCTCAATTGTGGCCTTTTAAAATATAGTTTGAAGATTAATTCACAGAAATGATAAAATTTGTTATCACTGCTCTTTTTTCATTAGATGTGTCATTCTTTAATAAATTGTTTTAAACAATACAAGTTGTATGTTTTTGTTTGAGAAAAAACTCCATTGCTTATTTCTTAAATATGTCCAATTAATAATGCAAGTAGAACCATAATCCCTAATTTACATTAAATGTCCCTTATTCAGTACTAGATATGAATGCAGCCTGTAAGCAACTGTAATTTTTTATTTGTTGGGATTTTCAAAGTATTAATTGGTAGAATTCAATACAATCAATGGCAAGCACAATACAGTAGAATGTCTCATTGAGTTTGTAAATCATAAATATGTGCCATATCAATCATATTGAACGTAAATGAATATTTTCTAATGTGAAAGAAATAGGTGCATATAAGATCAAAATGACATCAGTTTGCTTATACAATAATGTGGGCAATTCAGTTCATTTTTAAGGCAATGAGGATGATTTTTAAGTATTCTTAAATTTCTTACAATTGTAGGAAATGCAACATTTTACCCATCAAATACAATGAAAATGTACCATTGCTGCTAGTGATAAGAGAAAGGTTGTGTTCCACTTAGAACTATTTACATAAGCCAATAAATGTTATTTTGATTGCAGCAGCACAGAGATACTGTAGGTTTTAAAATGTGAATATCTATAATCCTCTGTTTGTGACATACAATGTGATCTGAGCTTCATCTAAGTCCTAAGAATGGATAAAAATGGTTCTGGCTAAACTACTCCCAAAACTCTGTCATGTTTTTTAGGATGTTTGTTTAACCAGAACTGATTTAAGAAGACTTGTTCCAATCACACTGTAAGACACAGTGCTGCAAGATTATAGGTGGTTATAAAGTATTCACAAATGTATTTGCTGTTGTCTAAGATGTCCGAAGCAATCTGAACAGGCAACAATATTTAATTCCCAATCATTGAATACTATGATGTACTGTTCCACAATGAAATGGGAGAGGCTTCAGAAAAAGTACAACTGGTCACGCAGCTTTTTAATATCTACTGTAACGCTCTCTACATGGGGCTCCCTTTGAGGAGCACCCGGAGGCTTCAAATGGTCCAGAATGCGGCCGCGCGGGCGGTGTTGGGAGGGACTCGTCGCTCCCATGTGACACCGCTGCTGCGCGAGCTGCACTGGTTGCCAGTGGCCTTCCGGGTGCGCTTTAAGGTGTTAGTTACCACCTTTAAAGCGCTTCATNCCCACAGACCGGTACGCTCCCACAGAGTGGGTCTCCTCAGGGTGCCGTCGGCCAAGCAGTGTCGGCTGGCGACCCCCAGGGGGAGGGCCTTCTCTGTGGGTGCCCCCACCCTCTGGAATGAACTACCCCCCGAGATTCGGATAATTCCGGATCTCCTTACCTTCCGTCGCGCCCTCAAGACATGGCTCTTTCAGCAAGCAGACCTGACCTAGGGTGGATTTTATACTGGGTTTTTTAGGAATTTGGAAGACACAACTTTAAATTTGGTTTAATTCGGTTTTAAGGGGGGGATTGTATATATGCTTTGGTTTTAAATATGTTGTGCGCCGCCCTGAGTCCCGCTGGGAGAAGGGCGGCATATAAATTAAATTAAATAAATAAATAAATAAATAAACTGTTCCGTCTAAAAACCAGTTTACATAACTATTTCATCTTTGAAAATTAGCCATATTTTTAATCACTGTCTGGTTAAATTTTTTACAGCAGCGGCTCCCAAACTTTTGAGCATCAGGGACCGGTTCCGTGGAGAGAGGTTTTTCCACAGACTGGAGAAGGCGTAGTTTCGCATGCTGCCTCATCCCGTGGATGGGGCTTTGTTTGCGTGGCCCGGTTTCTGGCACCGGTCCACGGACCAGCATCCAGCATCCCAATAAGTTAAATAAACATAGGCTCTAAAATCCCAACCATGTTATTTCCTTTGAAGCGAGCCAAGAAGCTTAATTTGCCTTGTGTGAAAATTCTCTAAATCACTGGTTATAGCATGCTAGAGCATACATTTATATATTTTAAAAAAAATTATCCCCAGCTTCCAAGGAACTGGATACTGTATGTTCCCAAACATAATATACAGATTTTTCAATTGCAGAAAGAAACGTGATTTTTTATGCTATACTAATATATATTCTGTCTTTTGTGCAGCGTTAATAACAAATTAGCTAATTGTAATGGCATCCCTAATTTTTTAAATCTACAATGCTGTAAGAATATAAAAAATATTGTCCTCTTGGCTTCCCTTCTTACGTTACCTTATTTGGCTCCAAGGAGGTACAACTTTTGTCTGGAAGACATCTAGAACCTAACATTATATTCAGCAATATCTAAGTATTCTGAGGGATTAACAAGCAGATTGACATTTAATAGGCTAGTCTATTAAAAACAATGGTCTTTTTATTCAATGGCATTTTTATAAAGGTATACATGAGTTTTCATATTCAAGGCTGAGGATAAAGACCACAGAGATTTGCAAAATGATCCTGTGCAAGTATCACAATATTCAATCTTCGTATTTAGCTTCAACATGGGTAGTGGGATAAAGGCAATATTGAGTTGGGGTTGCTGAAAGTAAGATTCAAATCTGTTCAGTCATAGGGTTCACTGCAGAAGTTGGGAATCACTGCAATCTTTACAATATTAGATTGCAGACAAATTGCAACACTAAAAAAAGCTTTCTGAAAGGTCAAAGTGATTTAAAAGTGCTGTGTGTATGGAAGTCAGTTTTCTCACAAATGGTACATTCCTCTGCATGACATTTATCAGAAGAGGCACACTTCTGAATAATTGATAGTATAATATCATGGTGAGTCAAAAAAGGAAGTGTTACTGTATTTTGTCTTTGGAGATATTTTTGAAAGTGACTTGTGGCTTGTTGATACTTCAGGACCCTAAGCATTCTTCCTAATACCAATTACTACTTTGAATTAAGCTACAGAAGGAAACAGAGAAAAGCCATGATTTGATGGCACTAGGGTGGTGTAATTAAGATCTAATTCCATTCAATTCAATTTCAACATTTTCTAATTGACATTTACTGTTGCTGATTCCAACTTGGTTCACTCTAGATGTGCCAGACCACAATATCCTTCTTTTGCACCAAGCTTTATGCAGCCTGGATGGCTCTAGCTCAGTGGTTCTCAACCTTTTTAATGCCGCGACCCCCAACTGGTCGTAAGTCGAGGACTAAACCGATCGTAAGTCGAGGACTACCCAACCGGTCGTAAGTCGAGGACTAAACCGGTCGTAAGTCGACTACCCAACCGGTTGTAAGTCGAGGACTTTCCCTGCCCGGGAGCGCCGCGCGTGCGTGGTTCCGCCCCCTGCGAGGCGTAGCTGGCAAGCGGCAGAGACGGAGCAGGCCGACCACCAGCTGGCCCAGCTCAAGGGAGGTAAGGCACCCGCCGGAAAAGGGAAAAAAAATGGCGGACAGCCTTGCTTGGCGACCCCCGTGAAATGGTCGATCGACCCCAAATGGGGTCGCGACCCATAGGTTGAGAACCGCTGCTCTAGCTAGAGACAATTTGAGGGAGACTAATAATCTACTGGATTAGGCTTTTTATCTTTAAGAAAAAAAAGCAATTGATAAATTGTAGCATAGTGTTGTGTAATACTGTTTCTTATTTGAATACATATAATGTCAAAAATATGGAGCTCAATATTGTCTTTTAAAAATCCTGATAAATAAGGTAAGTCACAAAAAGAACTTTACAATATATATTATTTTATAGGGGAGCAATTCATTTGTTGATTTGGATGAAAACTGGACAATCCTGGGCATGGACACAAGTCACGTTCTGTTGAAATAAATAGGAAAACACTTATTCATAATACATTGCTTGCATTAAAATTATTACATATTACAGACTTAAGTACCCAGTTGCAAAATTGGCACCATTCCATTCTCAGAAACACAGAGATGGCTGAGGGAAATTTTACTGAAATCTAATAGGGTTGACTTGGTAGACAGAATGTGGTTATTGTTCACTCTCTAATTATATGTATCAGCCCAGAACGTAAGTTCCTTTGGGCAAGCACAATCATTTATGAACGGTGAAATTAACTTGGGAAGCCTGCAAAACATCATTTGATTTGATCAAGGACTTCACCTGAGTGTCCCTCCAAATCCTGACTTTTTTTTTTTTTTCTACTGAACTCCCATTTTGGAACTGTTATTTCTAAAGAGAGAAAAGCAGAGAAGTAACAATAGTTAATAATGATAGTTCTGTGATCATTATTCAAGTATGTTTTGAGTCTATGTGCCCAAGTCTACATTCAATTAATGCTGAGACTGCATGCTAAGAATCAGCAATGCAGAGCAGAGACAGGGATGGGACAGATTCCTGTTACACAACTGGGCATCTCAGTCTGCTTCTAGACTCTAAAAAGCCTCATTCTGATCTGTTCCCAATCTACAGAAGATTTCCCCAAATTTGCCATTATGGATACTTTCAGAGGAATTACTGATTGGGATGGCCGGGAGGATAGATTGAGGGGAGAGAAGGCCTACAAAAAGCAAAGCATATAAGGTAAGTCAGAATGGGCACTTAGTTGTGACATAGCTTGATGCAAAAACTTCGATGATGAATAAGAAATATTTTAAATATGGAAGCATATCATATAAACTAGATGTTCTTGAGATTTCCCTGAAGCTTGCTTGAAAGAGAAGGCCAGGTTAGAGAAGAACTCAATTTTTCAATCTGGAAATTTAATAAAAATTTCCATCATGAATTCGATCCTTTGTAGAAATTCACATTCACCTTCTTAAGTTAATTCTATAATTTACATTCACATTCATCTTCTTAATTCTGTAGTTTTCATTTTTAAATGTATATTTTATCTGATTTAAATGAACTCTGACTAGCAGGGTTTTTTTTCTTTTTGGAAGTATTTCTTTTTACAGTTCTTTTTCTGAAAAATATTAAGATTCATGCTTAAGAGGCCAAATTTACTTATTACCGCTAGCTATTGTATTTTATAGGTTAGATGAAATAATCAAATATAATGTCTCCATCTCATGAACATTTCCACACCAGCATGAATCGCCCTAGTGTATATAGGCCACTGATGAGA